ATTAATACATTTTTTGTAGATAATTTATGCTCTACGTTTTTGTCTAAGGTAATTTTGCGATAAAACTGACTATTTAGCTGAAAATGGCAAAGAATCGTTTTTTGATCTTTGACCTTGTCCCAATTTTATATCACGCAACGGCACGATGAGAACTTTTAAGATTTTGGAACTTCCCGCAGGGTAAGTTATTGTAATCGTCTAAAAATCGAAATTGAAAATTTTTATATTTCTCGACGTTTTGAAGGTTTATGAGCATTTTGGCATACCTCAGAAAAAGTGGATGTGTGTGTGTGTGTATGTATGGATACAATTTTTCGGTCACGTTTTCGGGCGCACAGATCATCCGATTCCTATTGATAGGGAGTAGTGATGATTAGTTTTTGGCAAAGGCAGGTCCAGCAAGAGCAAAGAGTGCAGAAAATAGAAATCGAGTTTTTGAGAGAACGGAGTATCCGATTTGAATGATCTAAAAAACATTCAATTAGTAATGATTGGGAGAAGTGGTTACCAGTTTTTGGCAAAGGTATAGGCCCAGCCATTTCGAAGACACAGAGCTAAATGTTAAAAAAGTGGCCGTTTTTGAGAGAACTAAGCGTCCGATTTAAATGAATCAAAGAACTTTCTGCTTGTCTTAACAAAATAATTGATTTTGGAAAAAAAATTTTGTTTCAATTTTTTTTTTGTCAAAAAAAAATTTTTTTTGCATATCGAAAATAATTCAGATTTTATTTTTAATTCTGACTATAGTTCTTATAAACCTTAAACAAGTAATTTCAACTTTGCAATTCAGTTTATATAATATAATTCTTATAAATATTAGACAGTGTTACAATATTTAGTGTTCCTCGAACATTTTGTTACGGCACGGGAAGTTCCAGCAATTTGCCTTAAGGCACGATACCATACACCCCACTACTTTTTATAATTGTATTTTAAACAATTTTACTAAGTTACAGAACAATAAATATTCATTTGACCTTGAATACGTAAATTGATCTGACTATCAGATTCAATCTCTGTTCCGGAAATAAATTTATCCAGCTTTGTATTACTATTTTAATAATAAAAAACCTTCTAATATATAAATATATTTGTGCGTAGCTAGAGCATGTGCTATGAGTTTACGTTTTCCGACAAATATTTACCTTGATGTGCACCTTGAAAAATGATATGGAAAATAGGAAATTGAATTTAGAGTTACTCAGCCAGTACAGAAAGCATTGTAGTTTACAGATGCACATAAATATAGTATATCTAACATAATATAATGTAAATATATTTATGTTAAATATTGATGAATGGCTTTCATCAGAATAGGAAGTGGATTTAAATTGTAAATTTTGTAGTTGAATTTATTTGATTGATTTTACTTTAGAAATCGTATCTGCAACTTAAGTAAAATAACATTCACTACCAAAGTTAATATATAATTTTTAAACCGAGTGAGATATGACATATTTGTTATTGCAAAACATATTTATTCTTCCTGCTCCTTTCTTTTTTTTAAAGTAAGTTCACCAAAATCGTCTAAAAAATTTTCGAGATATATGCGAGGTTGATGAATCGGTAAGATCCGTGCACAATACTAATATTATATTTAAACAGATAGTACGTTTTCAAAAACGGATCTTGCGAATTTGATGAAACCTAACAGACATTGTTATTGTAGTTCACCAAAATTGTGACAAAAATTTAAAGTTGGTCAATTGATTTCAAGATACACGCGGTTAATGGATGGGTGTTCAATATTAATACTATAACGTTTAAAACGATAGTACGTTCTCAAAAACGGATTTTGTGAATTAGATGTAATTCAACGAACATTGTTATTATAGTTCACCAAAATTGTGACAAAAATTTAAAGTTGGTAAATTTAATTTATTTCAAGATTTGCAAAGGTTGATGGATGGGTAGCTCCGTATTCCTAACTAATATTTAAATCGATAATATTTTTAAAAACGGATTCTTCGAATTTGATGAAACTTAAGACATTGTTATTACAGTTCACCAAAACTGTGACAAAAATTTACAGTTGGTGAATTTAATTTATTCTAAGATACACGAGGTTGATGGATGGGTGGCTCCGCGCTCAATACAAATATTTAAACAGATAGTATGTTCTTAAAAACGGATTTTGTGAAGTTGATGAAATTTGAGAGACATTGTTATTAAACTTCAAAACGTTGTGTTGATTTACGTTCAATCTTCTTTGATTTGATGGATTTTTTTTTCCTATTTTGTATGTAAAAGAAATACAATAATATGGATTATACAAAATTTAAAATAAGGAATAAAACTTATAAAAGAATAAAAACACTAAGCAAAATTATTTTCTGTGACTTGATAGAAAAATAGTAATCGAACAGCAGTTTGTTAAAATGAAATATTTTTAGCAACATTTTTAGAAACATATTATAAATATGTATCTATATTAATATTATTGGCAAACAACCAATTATATTATTATAGATACATATTTATTAAACAAACTATTAATTTGTATATATTTAATAGAGTGTTATTAAAACTTCTTCTCGCTTCTATTTTCGCATATTTATGATTGAAACATAATTTTCCATGGAAATGCACTGAATAAAACGCATCTATTTTTACGCAGTCCTATTACTGATGGAAATAACAATCCTGAACTGGAAAACAACTCTGGTATTAAATTTCATGCCAAAAGCAAATAATATCATAGAGGATGTAAATAATTAAGCAAAATCAAACAATAATGTTATTTGTGTTCGTTTAAGCGCATAGTTCTGAGAATATTTATTCCAGGAAAATTTATTTCTAGTTGAAAGTACTAAAGATGAAAACAACGTGTTTTTCTTAGAAACTGTTAGGAGCATCTCTATGAAATTAAAATAGTATTATTTATAGATAATCTTGGGAAATTCATATTAAAACAAATATATTTTAAGCTCGGTACAAGCGTAGAATTTATTAATAAATAAATAAATTCAGTGAATTTGTTATTTATTTAATAATAATAGAAATCTTAATTTCTATTTACTAATTTGTTAGTTATGAATTATTTATTTTAAATTTGTAACATATAATTTTGATTAATTATAAACCATGTACTTATTATGACTTATTAGTTTTAATTTCTATAATTTTATAAGTATTTCATTCTTTTCATATCTGGTCATTTTCATAATCATCGTAAAATGATATCTAATATATTATATTACATTATCTAAAATAATTAATCATTATACACTTTGTGTTTTAAATATATTTTAACTATTTCACTTTTCAATTTGAATGAGTGATGCTATTCTTTGCTAAATTATTTATTCTGGCAATCAAATTTTTAAAATTTGAATATAACCAAGTTATCAAAATTAACTAGAAATGGAATCTAACGTGAAAATTGTGCTTCAATGGGTTTGAACATAAAGCTTTTCCGGGTTACAATCCTGTTTGAGCTTGAAAGCTCCGGTTTAAATACATGATACGAGCTTTTTCAGAATGTTATTGTTGCTCAGTAGATAGAACCTCTATTTACAAATATTTATATAAAATTAACTGAATAATAAATTATTTAATAATAATAATGAAATATTAATTTACAATTTAAATTTATAACTTAACATAAATAATATTATGCTGTTATTTCTGCCTAAATTAATAAATGCGAGATTGATGGATGAATGGATTAATAAAATATGTAAAATACAATAAGAGAAACTAGATAAATAAATGAATATTTTTCTAAATAATTCTCTCTAAATAAATAAATTTAGAAAATGAATTGCCAATCAACAAAAATAAAAATACACCCATTGTGATATAAAATTTTTAAATTATATTATTTAACGATAAAGTGGTAACAAATATAATAAAACAAATTAAAATATATGTACGAATTACACCATCCATCATATATATTCACATAATTTGAGTACTACTAAATTATTTTCAATTACTTTACTTTAACTTTATTCTTTTATTATTATTATTATTATTATTATTATTATTATTATTATTATTATTATTATTATTATTATTAAAATTATCATTTATATTATCATGTACCTGGATGTTATTTAGTAGATATTGAAATTAGTAAAAAAAGGAGAAAAATTTCATTATATGCAAAGTGATTATAAATAATATTTTATTAGTAAGATTTTGTTTGGTATTCAACAAATTCCTAAGAAATTAAACATACTGAATACGATTTTACAAATTGTATGATAAATTCAAGCGCCAGATACGAAGTCCATTCATTAAACCTTCTGGACTTTGTTTAAACTGGAAAATGATTTAAATGGATTAAAAGACATCTTAAAAAAGCATTTATCAAGAATTTTGCTTTGTTTGTTAGCACTAGATTAAACTTTTAATCTTTTTATAATGTCAGTAATCCGCATCTGTTTTTTCTGGAGCAAATTTTATTGATAAGTTGTTGAGGAAAATAAGTTTATCTGAGGACGCAAAAGATTTATACAGGGGAGCAGAAGTAATAAAAAAATAGAATATTACGTATTCTATTATTAAAGTAATAAAATTGATAATTGACTTATAATTGATTTTTTTTTAAATGACTAATAATGACAAATATTACGTATACCCATACTCTAGTCATACCCTTGTACTTGCATTTTTTAATTATTAATAAAAATTGAACATATTTGACCATATTAATACACTAATGGCATTAAAACATGCTAGCGATTTTTTCAACATTTATTATCTAATTTTAATAAAATTCTCATAATATATAAAATACTTGCTCCAGATCTGTTCTCAATTTATTTTCCTAAATAGTTTCGAACATCTGTAAGAATCAAATCTAGGTAAATAATTAATCACAACTTGATTTGTGTTTATCTATAAATGACGTTGTTGATAAAATAAATCGCTAAAACCGTTTATATATCGCATATTAAATTTTATGACCATTACTTTTTTTATAAACGCTACACTTAAAATATTCGGAAGTGATTTTTCAAGAAAGAAATTGTGTGAATTTTGACAGTGTTAACATGTTTAAGTTGGTGGTGATATTGGCGATAATTGCTGTTTGTTCAGGTTAGTGTTAATACAAGAAATTTTAATTGCAAGCATTTTATTTATTTAATTTTTTATTTATTTCATATAGCACAACCTACCACCAGAATTGTCAATGGAACAGCAGTTTATGATGGAGAATTTCCATTTATGGTAATAATTTTTATAATTTTGACCAACTTTATTTAAATACTTATGTTGGATGTATTATGTATGGATACTATTTATTTCTTAATGATTTATTTATTTATTTTGCCTATTAATTAAATAAAATGTCTTTTGTTTGTTTCTCCATTTATTTATTTAAGTCTTGAAGATAATAATAATGTGGTCTATGAAATCATTCTTCATGGTGTTCTATCAATAGTCGTACAATTATTGTCAATAATATTCAATATCTAATATATTTTGCATATCTTGAAAGATTATTTATAAAATTCTCTAAAATTATTAATTATTATTTTTTTTTCAAAGGTATCTCTGAGGGATAAAACTGGAGTCCACATGTGTGGAGCATCAGTAATAGATTTTCATTGGATTTTGACTGCAGCACATTGTCTAAATGGGTAAATTGTTTGAAAATTGATTTTATTACAATGAAACCATATATATATATATATATATATATATATATATATATATATTTAAATTATTAATACGTTTTTTTTCTCTTAACAGCCTATGACAAAGACATTAATCGTTATTATTTTATCTCATGGGAGAATGTATTTAAAAATAATTGATATATATTTTTAAAGTCATGAATTCAATTTAATATGATTTAAATCAAAAATATTTTGAACTTTTTTAATTTTTTTTTGTTATTATCTCATTGGAAAGTTCATTTAAAATATCGTTCAACATTACCAAAATTATATTTATTTATATTATTAATTATATATTTATTATTATTTTTTAGAATGAAAGCCCAAGACATGTCAATACAATATGGTGTTACCCATGTTTCTAAAGATGGACCAAATGTTGCAAGAATTAGTGAAATGTTCATTCATCCAAAATTTGACGAAGAAAACACATATTTTGCTGATATTGCTTTATTGAAGGTATTATTGTGTGGTTTTATATACCATAAATATAATAAAAATGAGTAGGTCTTTACTATGAGATCATAGTTTTTGTTAAGTATGGACAAAGTTTCATTAAGTATATTAATTATAAAGTTCTAGTGAATAAAAATACTGTTGAACTTTATTGATAATCTTTAATTAAATATATTTATAAACCGTATATACATATAGTACACATTTTTTAATATCACTTTTTGATAACAGATAACTTTTTTGCAATATACGACTTTAAGTACATATTAATGAGCAATACCTACATTGTTTTTATTTTTACTTATTTTTTGAAATAGGTACTTCTACTTTCAAATTTAGAGAACTGTATATTTTTAATCTGCTTTAAAAAAATAAAATCAAATTCAGATGTGATATATTTCAAGTTTTGGCGGATTTACTTGTTTTTTTTTATATATTGCTCATATTTATAAATCCGATTTATGATCTATAGTACAGATCATAAATCAGATTTATAGATATGAGCAATATATAAAAAAAACAAGTAAAATGTCTACTACGTATAGATTCTATACGTAGTAGACATTTTACAATATGATAAATTATCAAAGAAAAATTTAAATTAACTATTATCCCTAATTTTTAGTTTCTGATGCATGGAGTAATAACTAGACAATTTTTGAATAAAATCATTTTTTTTAATTTTAGTTGGAAATTCCATTACCATTCAGCAGAATGGTAAGACCTGTTCCTTTGCCTTCGACAAGAGAACTAACTGCAGGAGGTGCACCTGCAACTGTTCTTGTTTGGGGTTTTAATGCAGTAAGTATTTATTTATAATATTATTTTATTTTTATTATTATTGATGCTATGTGCATAAATTGAGAGCATTACATTGTTATTTTCATCATCTACTTATTAGAGATCATTTTGCCACATCTCATGTTTCAAACTTCTGGCGCCATTTTCTTCTGGTTCTCTGTACTTTTTGATTCTACAACCTATTTTATGGCATCATTCAAGTAAAAAATATTGAAATTATATTTTTTAATTATTATTATAATAAATTATCTACACAATTTTTAATACACATAAAATAATAGCTCTTAATAATTTTTTATTATTAAGAGTTATTTCCTTGAATTAATATTCATCAGACTGATGAAATCAATTGCCTCATTTAATAATTATTAAAATTATTCTCACTTAGATATTTAGATTTTGTATGTGAATTTTTAGTGTTAAACAAAGAGATTAAAGAGATATTTAAATTAAGGTTTATAAATGAAGAATGAAATTATATGTATATAAAATATAAAATTGTTTTATATTCTCTTATACCAGGCACCACTGCCTAACTGAGATATGAAATATAAATATTACCTTGATATATTATATTTATATACTGTATTTTTTTCTATTTGCCACACAAATACAATTAAAAATTACCCCATGAACAATGTTTTATGTACTATGCTGATTTTCAACTTTATTTACGAGATTATATGAAACATTTTGCTTAGTCACATATATCTTAATACAAATAATCCTTGAAATCAAATTCGACGCACAAAGATTTGTACTAATCCTTCTTAAACTTATCATATATAGATTGTAAGATATTAAAATCACTGTCATGTCAAATGATATTGATAACTGGATTAAGGAAATAAATAGATTTTTGTAATATTTTTATTACGCATCCACAAACACATTTCTGTATTTTTAAAAATATACTGTATTTTACCATTGTTGTTTATACCATGGATAATATAAAATAAAATATTTTTAACTTTTTTTTTCTAGAGTTCAAATGGAATGCTCCAAGAAAATTTACAAAAAGTCGACTATTTTATAGTGGATCATCAAGAATGCGTCGAAATACATAACCATCCTGTGCAGGACAACCAAATTTGTGCAGGACTTCCAAATGGAGGAAAAGGACAATGTATTGTGAGTAATTTTGGAAAATTATTTTTGTTTAAATATTGAGAGAAAACTATCAATTATATATATATATATATATATATATATATATATATATTTGTCCTGTACCCACGTCTAAAAAGTTTCAAATTTAAATATCCTATCTTATACTTTTCAATATTCTAATTAATGTCCTTCCTTTTATGGTCTTAACGTAAGCTTTATTACTTTAGTTAAAATCTTAGGTGAATTAATTTGTAATATGTAGTTTATATGGTGGCACTGTTCAATCTAAGATCATGATGAAACAACTGAATTTTTGACACATGAAACAAAATTCTAAATCATTTTTTCAATAAGTAGAAATATACTTTTTATTTGCTTTATTTTTTTATTTATAATTTAAAAAAGTAAAGCAAAATACAACATGCACAAGTTTAAAAATATATACAATTTTGTACGTATTGTGTTATTTATTAAACTAATTATATATTTTCTACTGCCAAACATATATTGTATATTATATTGTTTCTGGCACATCTCAGCTGATTTTCAGCAATAATATTGTAGATATGGCATTTTTCTTATTTATAATCATGAATATGGATATTATATATTAATATTGTCTAGACTCGCTTAAACTAAATTCAAATTTAATTGTCAATTTTGGCAGATGACAGTTCTTATGTGTCAAAATGATTTCAAAGTCAAACAATGATATGTTGTTTTTGCATTTTTTTTTTCATTTATTTCTACAATA